GAGCTTAAATAGTAGCAGTATTTCACCCAGTTGAACTTCAAATTACTTCAGATGAAAGTAATGTATCTTTTTGGATATCATACTGTTGCTTAAAAATTTATGTACTTTAAAATTCCTGTTACAGAGAATATAAACAGTACATTGAGTTTGATCAGTCAGTGAAAAATTAATCTCAGGGGGTAAATGTTTCATCTTCCAGGACATCAGAGAATTAAATAACAAGCAATTTACTAAATTCTTTCTCCTGGTCCTGAAATCGTCTGTTTCTGTGATATGGATGTGTAGCTTACTCATAGAGGCTGGTCACTCCCTGCAGGACCACCTCTCCTGAATACAATCATCACAATATAACACCATACTTTTCACCATGATTCAGATATGCAAACTGCAGCTTTTTTTTTAACCTAAGATTCTGAGTTGAGTTAATCATATCTCTTAGCTCATGGTACACCATTAACCACCTCATAAGGCCTATAGCATATTTTACTAATTTTATTGTTTTTCTCTTAACTTCTCATCCTAACTTCCACTCCCCTTCCTGTTAGAGGCATCCACACTAATGTTTATAAAACATAAATGTATTTAGGTATGCTTGTATCTTTGAGAAATATGTAATGTTGTTTGTGTTGTTGTATGCGTTTAACTTACATATATGTAATTGTGCTATGAAACATTTTTTTGCTTTTTCATTCAACATATGTTTTTAAGATCTAACCATGTTGCTTTATGTACACCTAGATAATTAATTTTTAGTGGTACATGGAATTCCACTACATACGTATATCCCACAATTGACTAACTCGTTCCCCTAGCAGTGGACACCTCAATTGCCTCTAACTTTCTGCCTTCCCAAATAAAGCATCAATAAACACATTCATACATGTTCCCTTATAGGCCTGTGTGAGAGTGGCTTTAGAGTATATACCTTGGAGTAGGAATCTTAGTATATGTATATGACCAGATTTCTCTAAGCACTGCCAGATAACTCCCCAGAATAGCTGTACCAGGTTAGACTTCCACTAAGAGTACAAGAGGGTTTCCCAAATCCCTCACTGATAGTTGGTATTATCTGACTCTCTGATGTTCATCTGTCTAATGGGTGGTACGGTGTTTTGGACCAATCTAGTCCACCAGTTCTCTCAAACGTTTGAACCATCTCCCTTTGGTTCATAAGGACTTCTGGATCCTGTGCATGCCTTGCACAGGCCCTTGGCAACCAGAAATACTACCTCAGGACCATCTACACAGGCTCTTCCCTCACAACCCTGCTCTACTGTTTCCACATCATGGAGGCCCATGCTGATCTCAGAACTTCTGTTAAAGGCTTTTGTTCTCCTCTCAGGAGACGGGAATTCCGAATTCTCCTAAAATCTTTCTGGATGTTTCTACCCACCCTATGGGAGTTTTCATGCATGGAGCCAGTACACAAGAGCTGAGTTCTTGCCCTTGTCCCTCCCTCCCTCTCCCCCTTCCTTTCTTCCTTACTTTCTCTCTTCTCTCTCTGCCTCCTAGAATTTGAAGTGTTTTCAACTTCTCCCTTTTGACTGACAAGACCTGTCTCCCTTTCTTATCCTCCTCTCCCACTAGGTGACATACTCCCTATTCTTCCCTGTGGCAATAATGAAGGGAATGTGATAGAGGAGGAAACTGTGTTACTACAAGGGGAAAATATATTGGAGAATTTTGAAAAATATTGTCTGCATGCATTTACCATTCCATATAAATAATGCTTTAACCATTCCAAAGTACTTTTACATAGCATTTGACCCTCTCAAAAACCTAGATAGAGAAGTTGTTACCATTTGCAGACAAAAATAGAAACCAAGACTGAGAAAAGTGAAAGAATTTTGTGCAGTAATAAGATAGATAACCCACAGATAACCTATTTTAGAAGAATTCATATGTCTTTTACATCTTTTCCCCTTAGTATATCAGGAAACCTTTTTAGAATAGCAAAATCTCCCCATTTTCTCTTTTGTAGATCTGGTCATCTGAGCCAAAAGGAAATTCTGGCACAAAAATGAAGGCTATTTTGTCTCTGCTTTGCAGCAAGAATTTGTGGCTGCTTTAAGCATTTGCAAGAACCTCGGAGTTCTTATTCCTTTGTTGGCAATTCTTTTATAATTAAAAAATATTTTAAAATATGATCATTACTGTTATATTTAGAACCAAACAGGCAGCTGTTCATTTTTTCGGTTTATATTATTCTTATTAAACTAATATCTTACTCTGACAAAAATTGTGGGTTTGATTAGTTATATGGAATAATAATTGTAAGTGTTTAATTCTCTGAGTATAGACCTATATTCAAGTTCATTTTAATCATGTAATTGTGCCCACTTTTCAGTAATTTAAGCTTCCAATTTTTACTTTTTAAAATTTGGAAAAGCAACATCTTTTTTCCACCTAATTCTATAACAATATCTTTAAAGTTAAATCTATTTGGAGAATAATTTTCAATATCCCGAGTGAGCATTTTCTGCCAGGTGGTCAACAAAGACCATCTCTGCTTGAAGGGAAGCAGTTCGGGTTAGAGAAAAGAGACATACCTGGTTATGAATCCTAGCTTTCTACAACTTACCAGCTGTATGGCTTTAGGCAAGTGACTTACTCCCCAAACCTCAGTTTTCTCATCTCTAGCAAGGGAATAATAATACCTATGCTGAAGGGTTAATGCAAGGATTAAATGAAATCATCTGTGTACAATGCCTGACATGTAGTAAGCACCTAGAATGCTAGTTTTCTTCTTTCTCTTTTCCTTAGAAAAATAAACACAGAAACATCATGAACACCACTGGTTGTACTCCAGAAAATCTATGGTAAAAATACTACAGAGAATATTTCGCCTTTGAAATGAACGATAGAAACAGGCATTGCATGCCTTTTCATCCAAATACGTGATTTGGTTTTGCCCTTTTCACACAATAGAAATCTAATATGCTGGAGAAAGTTGTATCAATAAATGAATGAAAACTCTTCTTGAGCCTAGAGCATAAGTGATTAATACAACAGCAAATGTTGATCGGATAAATTGTTTCAATCAAATAAAAATATGTATATATATATATATATATATATATATATATTATATAAAATAAATTCCCCTTTACTCTCTGGGTATTTCTTGCGTGTAGAAAGTACCGTTTGAAGTCAGGAAGAGTGTCTCATATGGATGAGTTACCTAGTGAGTAAATAAATGTGAGAGAAAAACTAGGCCTGTATTGTTGGTTTTTTTTAAGTAATGTGCACACATTTTAACGCAGACATTGTTTCTCATAAGGCTGAGAATTGCTTTTTTAGTGTCATCCATAAGAGCAAAACCCAAAGACCTCATGTAACCCTTATGCTACGTGGCCTCTCCGTATGCAAGCATATTAAAATGTTTCAGAATTGCTTGTGTCTATAACTTATAAAATGCATCCTCTCTAGAAAAAAATAAATCCTACTTTCTGTATATTGACTAGTCCAAAAAAAATAGCATCTCATTTTTACTCCAAGAAAATAGGAATAGACAATCTAGGATAGGAATTAACCAAAACAAAAGCTTCCCTCAACAAGGGTCTGCACTCGCCCGGCTCCAGCGCACAGGTAAAACAGGCCCAAGAGGAAAGACAACAAAGCTTAAGCTGGATTTAAAATAGCGCACAGCAACATTTAAGGCTGCTTCTCTCTCCAGCCCAGAAAGGAATTTTCAGGAAAAGGAATGCAAACCCAATATTATAGCCAAGCACAAAGTATTTATTGAAGGTCCTTAAACACAGAACATTCTACTAGGCCCCTGGGGGGCCCCATTAAAGAATGATGAGACACAAATCCCATGTTCAGAACACTCCCAGTTTTCCCCCATTAGTCTCTATCTTTTCAACTCCTCAGCTCAAGGCATGAGGTGAGCAGCTTAGTACAAACCTGCCTCGAAACCTAAAGATTTCCAATCAGATTCCAGACTGGGCTGTGCCACAACTACAAGGCAATATATTAGGTTACACCCGATGAACTACACTTCCCTCTTGTATATGAGCCAAGTGTTTCACAGTTTAGGTCCAGGAGATCACTGAGTTTATAACAAAGGCAGTGGGTGGGAAGAGAAGAAAGGCCAAGATCCAAAATGAGTATTAGAACAGGGTGGCTGAGTTGGCTGAAAGGTACAGATCAGTAGAATGAAGGAGTGATAACGGATGAGAAAGAAAAAGCTAGAGATTAAAGGATATTGTCATAGTGATTATGCCTGAGGAAGGAATCTCCCTTTAAATAAGAGTTTGCAAATGTTGCTTTGCTTTCAAGGCTAAAAAGAAAGAAAATCCTCACAACAGATATCATCTATTATTCACTACCACATGCCAGGTGCTGTTTGAAAATGCATTACATACATTAATCTACTTAAGCCCCAAAACAACTCTATGAGATAGACACGTTTACCATGCCCCTTTTTCAGAGGAGGAAACTGAGGCACAGAGAGGTGAAAGCCAAACAGCTAGCAAGTGGAAGAACCAGGATAAAGACTCAGTTGAGCTCAGAGCCCACTCGCCTCACCACTCCACATACTGCCTTTCAAAAGAGAAAGCTACAGGCCTATAATTCTTGGCTTAGCTCATATATTAACAGCTCATGCTTGTGTCTGGGTCTCTTGGTTACCACTAGGAAGCAACGACCCCAGGGTAGCATGGTGGTCCTCTCTAACTCTCAGCTTCTGAACATCACCCCATCACCACACACAGGAGGAAACAAGCTCTCTTTCAGGCCAGGGTGGGTATAAGGTATGGTTTATGAAAGGGTCCTATTTGGTGGTTTCTGTTTGACCCATTATTAAGCCCCCATAAAGCTTCCTGGTGAAAGAAAAGCTTTCTTAATGAGAAATTCCCCATGAGGGCAAACCTGTCATTCTCTCAGGCCAAATTGTCATGGAAACTTTTATAAGGAGGAACCCAACGCTCAAGTCGTCAGGCAGCAAAAGAATCCATGCAGTTGTTCTTTTGTAAAATTATACAGATTTATTCATTGCAACAAGTGAGGCAATGACACAAGTTCCTTTTACTGATGAACAGAATTGGAACATAATGAGAGGAACACAGTCAGAGTTTAATTTGTCAAACCTCGTGCCCCTAAGCTAGCCCTCACACTGTAGTCCTCAAACTGACCAAAGAATGCATTTCAAAAACAATAAACATCGGGCCAGAATCATAAAATAATTGTGAGTTGAAAAAAAATGCATTGCTTTTTAAAATAATGCTCAGACATCTTAGTGTAAACAATAAAAGGGTCTTTTCTTCTAAAGCAGGAGTCAGCAAACTACAGCCCTTGGGCCAAATTTGGCTCATTGCCTGTTTTTGTACAACCCACAGCTAAAAATAGTTTTTGCGTCTTTAAATGGTTGAAAAAAAATCAGGAAGAATAAGGTATTAAGACATGTTAAAATTATATGAAATATAATACATAATACATAAATTTTTATTGAAACATAGGTACACATTCATTTAATTATTGTCTATGGCTGCTTTCAAGCTACAAAGACGCAAATCCTAAAATATCTACTATCAGGCTCTTGACAGAAAAAGTTTGCTGACCCTTTTCTAAAGTGATAAATGATAAATATATTGCCCTGACCAATTTCTCACCATCTAATTATGAAACTGCAGTTTATAATCATTAGAAAACAGTGAAGCATTTTGTGACCTATCCCAGTAATTAATTTCTAAAACCCCATTCTAAACAGACATTGCAGCCTATTATTCACTCTAATGATAAGTTGCAATCCCTTAATTGTTCCAAGGGGTGTGTTTTCTCTTACACTAAAATGATGTCTGACTGATACAAACCAGGGCCTTTCTTCCAACGCCTGAGTGAAGCAAAGCAGAAAGCATCCCATGCACATGTACATTCACTTGGCAGGAACATTTTGCTGCTAAGCTTGAAATCAAAACAATTAAAGCCAGTAAAGAAAGAGCACATGGGCTTCTGTTTCTGCCTCTTGCTTATTCCAAAATCCGCAAATCCACAAAAATTTTTGTGCAGCTTTTCTTTAAGCATTTCAAAAGGAAAACAGGGTACCAGCCTTCTTTTGAAACTGTATAGTTTGTTGTTGCTGTTGTTTGTGACTACCCTTTGACAGTGGCTGAGTATTGTATTTATATTTCTCATCAAAATAGTGATTTGTCACAAGATTCGTCTGTCTCATTGCCCTTTTATATAACGTGTGCTCAATACATATAATGTCCCACCGTCTGCAGATCCAATCTGATTCTCATCTGCACTGCTCCCCAAACACATGCCCCTAGAATTCTTCCAAATCTGGCATCGGCATTGACTTCAAAAGTTGCTCCCTAAACAAAGGCTTTGGAGAAAGACACAAAACAGACTCACCAATTATTATAATTCAGGCATCTCCTAGGACCTCATAAATGTGCTGTAATAAATTATGTTATCTCTCTGAGTTACATAAAAGTTTTATTTGTATTCAAATACTAAACTAAGCAGCAACTTCTTCATGGGAGGTACGGACGAGAAACAAGTCTCCGGTTGAGAGCCTGGGAGTCTGTGATCCAGTCCCAGGTCCTCTGCGTACCCACTCTATAAAACTAGGACATTGGAGAAAATGTTCTACTCTTACGTCAATTTGATGTTGTTCAAATATGTTTTAAAGTTTTGCAGAATTCTATGGAGACTTCTGTCTTGTGATCCTATTCAGAAAATTATTCATGACTCTTAGATCCCAAAGACTTCTTTAAACAAGTTTGGGAAACTGCTGAAGCTCAACCAGCATCTTCAAAAGCTGTCCTAAAACATTACAATCAAATGCACTATTTTTCCCAAACAAAATGAAAAATTTCAACCACTTCAAGAGATATTATTTACTTTACTCCAGACATATATTAGTTAATTTTTATAAGCAGTTCTAAAAAGAAATAGGCCATCAAGAAAATCTATTTAGCCAACAAAAATTTTCATTGGTTCTACCAAGTAACTAATGCCACTGTTTGTCTTTGCTAGTCATTACCAACTTATCCGAGTCAAAGAAGAGAGATATCTCTCTACCACAAAACCAGATTTTTTTGTTAAAAATTGAGCCAAAGGGAATAAAAAAGTAGGGGGAGGCAGTACATATTTAATTAGGCCTAGGCTTGTTGCCTGATTTTCATTAGGCCCCTGCCTGATTCTGATTTGGCCCACTCTAAGTACTTTTAGGCCACTGGGCACGAAGGCCAGTGCTTATTTCCACGGCTGTTTCAATTCATCAAGAAAATCCTTTGAAAGATGAAAGAAACTCCACATTTTTTCACCTGTTGTTCTTTCTCGTGTGCCGTCACTTCACTAGCCAAATTCGCTTCAAGCCAAACCAAATGCTTTCCAAACCTCTAGAGCATGCCTTTGAAGATCTTAAGTTAAGTATTTTCTTATGCTGACCAGTATAGCTTCCAAATAAGGAATAAAAAAAATCACATAGTTTTTAAGTTATTTTTTTAAAAATACCAGAAATGCAAAAATACATTCCAGTATGTGCAAAAAAGAAAAATTCCTCTTCCCCAAGTTTGAAGTCTTGTGCCAAATACACCTGATGTTCATTACCACACCCACAGCACATTGCTTATGTATGACAAAGTTCCTGCAAAGACCATATGCTGTTTTTATTACTACCACTTCACAAGTTTTCCCAGGTTCCCTAAGAAAAGTATAAGACCAGCCCACTAAGTGGGCTCATCTTACTTCACTGATGAAATTTGGTTTGCTATTTACTTGATTAGCAACAAACATTTCTCCTTATTTCCAACAGCACAGCAATTAGGACCCTGACCTGTCACCACTAGCTTCAAGTTTTGGCTTTCATCAAAAGAAAAGGAATTTGCCAAGAAGGAAAAACACAGCTCTACCTACAAGCTAAAAACAGTTCTGTCTTCCAGACCATATGCACTTTCACACGGCTCCAGCAAACCTTCTTCAAGCAGCTTACAAAGGAGATACTAGGAGAAAGACAAAATAGACCCTAGTTTTAGGTACAAGTTTAGGTGAAAGAGATGCAAACAAGCAAAAGCTGATACTGAAAAGCAGAAAAGACAACTCAGTTGATATAAGAGGAAGTGAAGCCTCACTAATCTGTTGATATTCTTTGAGGGAGTCAAAAATGGATAAGACATAACCACCGGACATAGAGAATACATCCAAGCTTCCAGAAACTTTTTACAAGAGTCCACACCAAAGGCTTTATTTAAAAAATTAAGTTATAAAGGTTACATTAAATATGTAGTCTTAGAAAACCAACTAAAAAACAAAGAAAAAGGAGAGGCAATTCCCTAGGTGGATCTTATTTAGCATAGTCATAGATTATCTAAAATATGATCATAATGATAACTATTATTATTAAATGCTTGCCATGTCCCAGGCACTGTACTATTCACTTCATGTACATTATCTTCTTCAATACTCTCCAGAGCATCACTAGGTAGGTAATATTATCTCAATTTTACAGAATAACTGAGGCTCAGAGATGTTAACTTGCCCAAAGACACACTGCTAGCAAATGATGCTAAACCAAGGGTAACTGGTTAAAGTACTATTCAGCAGTAACTTGATTTCTCTGAAGTTTTCACAGTGACAAAGTCATTTAGACATTTATAAATTTTTTCTTATCACATGTATTTATTTCTGTAAGACATAGCAAATAAGAAATCAGTGGCTTCCTCACCCCAAGGAGATTAGAAATTTGTCATGGATCAGTTTTCCAATTCTTGCTTACTCTTGATGTTTATCATATGCAAGTAAACTTAATTCATTCAATGAAAATCATTGAGCACCTACAATGGACCATGCAGTATGGTTAAGATATGACTATCTTAAACTTGATTGTAGAAAGAAATGAAAGAATTTATCCCTATCCACGGAGTGTTTCATTTGCAGCTGGAGTTTGCTCAGCCCTCATAGGTCTATGGGAACAAATGAGGTTGCATTAGTCAACTAACCAGATTTCATGGCCTTCCCCCTCAACTCATCAGGACACACCCATCAATCAAGCACTACCCAAATAACTCTGGTAAATCCCTGGGGGCGTCTCACCCATGAGAAGGGACAAGCCTGGTCAGATACCATGTGGCTTCTAATTCCTCCTGCCCTTTTCCAGTCCTCCCCATGGACACTGTTGGAACTGGAAGAGAAGCCCTCTCTCTCGACCATATTACATTTTGTTAGAGGGGTCCCTAAGTAATCTTGCTTGTACCTCCAGTGTCCAAAAGAGTTTTAGCAAAACAATCTTTTTATTTTCATTTATAGCTTTCACCTCAACTCTCTGAAGGACTGAGACATGATCGAAAGGGAGGCCAGGACTAGAGACAAATTTGAGTCATAGACACTACACCATTCTCAGAATGGCCCCTCTCCTCTGATAACTAAGGCTTGTTATTGGATCAAGCTGTCATCCCTGGCTTCCTCATCCGTTATAATAATTATCTCCCAGGATGCTCTTCAGACCTTTTACAAAAAGATTCTGTAAGGCCTGTCAGGCCTTGCCCACCACTAATTTTAACATGCTCAGGACATGGCTGAACCTCAATGGACGCCACTGTGTAGGCTTATGGCCATGTTCAAATACAGCCTCCCCGCCCCTCTGCCTTACTAGAAGATAAGTACCTTGAGGTGGGAGTGGAGGTGGGGGTGTTAAAAGAATAAAAATTATCCCTGCTTTCCAATAGGGATGATTTGGGGAGGGTAGAGCATACTTTCAGGTATGCTCCTAGCAGACCACCAGGAGACAATGATCAGGGTCAACCCAAGAACAGCTACCGTAGAACTGCAAGAATAAATTAAGTTCTGGCAGAGTGGCCCTAAAATGGGAATTTGGAGGACAAGCAGGAATTAGCCACAAAAAGCCCAAAGCACTAAAGATCTGTTTTTATGGTACCTAACAGAGTGAGTTATAACTTTAAAGAACATAAATTCAGCTTCCTCAAATCTGAAAACTACAGTCTTGTGCAATATACAGTTTGGTATCATTGATGGACAGTTCCCTTCATGAGCCAATGCGTTCCTACCTCAAGAACCTGTGTCTCTTTGCCTGTGGACTTTCTCTGCCTGCAGGAGCATGCTCTGCCTACTCCCAGGGTAAGCTGGAAGTGGTGGGGAGTTCATTCCTCCAGGACCAACCCTGCACCCATGAGCGGCAGAGGATAGTGGATAAATGCCCCAGCTTCCTTGCCTCTTGCTGGGACTACATAGTCTCTTAGAGGGTCCCCGGCAAGATTGAGTCCCAGGTGCCCACAGGGTAACCACTGCTGAAAGCATTCTCTACTGACTTTCCTCCCATCTCTGTCTCATATCCCTACTCCCTCGCAGTGCTTCCTTGGACCACTTCAAAAATAAGCTACCTGCCCCCAAATCCTTGTTTCAAGATCTGATTTAGAGAAAACCCAAACTAAGATGTCTTCTTTCAGATAAGAATTCTCTCCAAATACAAATTAACCCACTATATTTATGCCAAGAAAGCAAAGAATTTTGAAGGGAAAAAAACTAATTTCAGAGGCTTCAGGACCTTACCTTTACCCAGCTTCATCACTTGAGAAGGAACTTGAATCCACGGCTAAGGAAAGAGAAATGTTTCCAGTTAGGATCCCTTTGCACAGAACCAAGCTTGAGTTTGTCAGGGAAGGTAAAGGGAGAGAAGGAGGACTCTCTCTTTGCTTCTCAGTTTTATCCTCTGTTTCAGGGAGGCATGATCTAGAATCCCTCAACTGAGGCAGGAAGAAGAGGAAACTGGAAAATCCATCCCTGAGAGGTCCCTAGTCACTCTGGACAGGCAGCATATAGGACCTGTGTTAGGCTCAGCAACCTGCTCAGGCTGCCATAACACAATACCACAGACTGCATGGCTTAAACAACAGAAATTTATTTTCTCACAATTCCGGAGGCTGGAAGTTCAAAATCAAGGTGCCGTCAGGTTTGGTTTCTGCAGCATCTCTCCTTGGCTTGCAGATGGCCGCCTTCTTGCTGTGTCTTCACATGTTCTTTCCTCTGTGTGTATGGTATCTCTTTGCGTGTGCAAATTTCCTCTTCTTATAAGACACCAGTCAGATTGGATTAAAGCCCACTCTAATGGCCTCATTTTGACTTAATCACCTCTTTAAAGGATCTATCACCAAATACAGTCACATTCAGAGGTACTGGGGGGTTAGGACTTCAACATGTGAATTTTGAGGGAACACAATTCATCCCATAATGGGCCCCAGATCTGGGGTTGCACTTTTCCTAGATTATGTCCTGTAGAAAATCATTGCACAGAAAACCTTTCCAAATCTTCTACATTGTGTGTTAAACATTCTTGTTTTACCAGATGGCAGATATGATTCAATAAAATCCCCAAAGAACCAAATATTTATTAAGTACCCAGAGTATGGTCTTTATTGTGTTAGGTGTCACAGAGCCTATAAAAGATACACATGACACAATCCCTACAGTCAGGTGAGGAGATAGGTCATCTGTGGGGAAAAAGATTAGGCAACAAAAAAATAGAAAAGACTAAAGAAAGGCTAGTGCTAAATTGTGTGGTCCAGATTTTATGAAAAAGCTGGAGAAGTCCGGTAAAAACTCATGGAGGAAGTGAGCCCTTGGAGGACCAGAACAATTCAGCATAATAATAGGCGGGAAGGAAAATGACCCTGATACACTTGGGGAACATTGAGGAGACCAGTCTGACTAGCCTAGAAGATTGATGTGGGGAGATGAAGGTTAGTTAGGAGCCAGAGACTAGGGGGCCTTAAGCATCAGGTAAAGGAGTGAGTGAATGAAAAAAGAGGCAGGTGAACTCTAGAATGGGTGAGTGTAAAAAAAAAAAAAAGGTTTGTAAAATATGAAATTGCATGATGCTACATATTGCCTGGGAATTTGATCTTGGAGTCATCACATATCATTCCGTGAAAGTATCATTCAATGCTACTGCAAACAGAAGACTGACAAAATAATGGGCATCTCTGAAAAGAGCATTTCAAACAAATCTGACCATTACAAACACAAAACTTTTGGGGCCGGCCCCGTGGCCAAGTGGTTCAAGCTCCGCGGGGAGCTACATCACTCACCAGCCATGCTGTGGAGGCATCCCACATACAAAGTAGAGGAAGACTGGCACAGATGTTAGCTCAGGGCTAATCTTCCTCAAGCAAAAAAAGAGGAAGATTGGCAACAGATGTTAGCACAGGGCAAATCTTCCTCAGGAAAAAAAACTTTCAATTTTAAAAGTCCAACTACAGCAATTTTGAACCCACTGAATGCAGTAACCACACCTTCAAAAAATCATTATTATTCAACACTGAGTGTCTGTGGAACAAACATGACTCAGCTGGGAATCTGGGGAGACAGAGGAAATAAAGGGAAATGTGTTGCAAAAGTCAAAGATGAATAATTTGCAATCCCTGGCTTCAAAGAACTCAGTCTATGGAGGAAAAAATAACAATAATAAATAATTAAAATAATCAAAATGTATTAAGTGTTGTCACTGAGTGCTATTGCCACGGAGGAGGAAGCATTTCAGTAAATATTTGTTGAATAAATGAATGAACTAACTCTTTCAATGGAAGGTACATTTGTGGTGAACTTTTAAAGATGAGCAGGTCTTTGCCAGAAGAGGGGATGAAGGGCCATTCCAGGCAGAGGGACTAACATATAACTAGGAAAGATCTAGAGCACACGATCAGTCTAGAAATCTCTAGTTCTCAAATTGGGCAGCACATTGGAATTACTTAGGAAATTGTTTTTTTAAGTGATGCCTAGGTCACACTCCCAGAAACTTTATATTGGTATGGGGGAAAACCTAGGTACTTGAAGTTTTTAAACTTGCCCAGGTAATTCTAATATGCAACAAAGTTTAAGAACCACTACTAGAGCATCCTGCAAACTTTCTTAATTCTACCTTGTTGCCTTTTCCCCCAACAGCACTCATTAAATCTTCCAGTAAGTCACAAAGATAGTGCATGATGTATCAACAAATTCACTGGAGCTCTTTTTGTTCTGTGTGTTGTCTATCCTCCCCTTAATAGAAATTAGATGACCCTAAATTAGCCCCATGTTGATGATAAGCAGCCATAGAAAATGAACAAAAGGAATGATTGGGTCTTCTCAGTCCCATAACCTGCCATGTGCCCAAGCTCTGCCAGTGGACCTTACAGTGAAATAAAGGCACAGGTTCCACCTTCCTTCTGTCACTTCCAGTCCATGCCCTCAGCTTCTGTATTTTAGAGGCTTTTATTGTAACAAGGTATTATAAATTGTGTGGAGGGAGATCCTCCCTATTCGCCGTGGAGTTTGCAAATGATTCCCCTGGGGACCACAGCAAAGTCAATGTGACATACAGTTTCAGCACAGGAAGAACTAGGTTGCTGTTGGATAGTAGAGAAATTATTAGCTGCACTGTCTACATGGAGATCAGAATACTGCTCTCAACACCACTTCTCCTTTGTGCCTTTATGGACAGGCTAAAGAGGGAGGATTGTTTATGCCTGGTGGGACCTATTATGGCAAGAAACACTCAGGAAAAAGATTTCTTCCTAAGGGAGACCTAAACAAGTTTCTTTCTGTTTATAACACTTAGCATTCATTCCTTCTTTAGGACATAGTCTTTCTGTGTGTGTGTCACTATGACATTCCAACAAAAGATGGAGAGGCAGGAGTATTATTCGATGTGGCATTCTAAAACCTAACATTTATCAGCTGCTTCTGAAGGTCATTCTTCTCGTGATTGGGAGTTAGCTGTGCAAGGCCAGGAGCCCTGGCACACTGTTTGAGCATGCAGCAAAATCAGGGGCTATTGCCTTTCCAGCATGCTCACTATGGTTCCTTTCTTTCATTCATTCATTCCATTACTGAGTACCTACTCTGTAACCTGCATTTTGCTAGGACGTTGTAGACCAGTGTTTCCAGATCTGTCTGATGATAAAACCTCCCTGAACCTCTTGTTAAAAATACAAGTTCCTAAGCCAGCCCTGTCTGTCTAGTGGTTATAGTTTGGTGCTCTCACTGTTTTGGCGGCCTGGGTTCATTTACCAGTTACAGAACCACATCAGCCATCTGTCAGTTGCCATGCTGTGGCGGTGCTCACATAGAAGAACTAGAAGGACTTACAACTAGGATATACAACCATGTACTGGGGCTTTGGGGAGGAAAAAAGAAAAAAGAGGAAGATTGGCAACAAATGTTAGCTCAGGGTGAATTCTTCCCTGGGAAAAAAAAAAAATTCAGGTTCCCAGGTCTCACCACAGTCTCCAAATTAGAATCTTCAGGGGGAAGGTCATGGGAATCTGTATTTTTAACAAGCACCTAGATGACTCTTATCACGTGAATAGTTTGGAATGATTAGTCCCTGCCCTTGGTGGACCCTTAGGCCTCATTGTTCTGTGAATCTAATTCATGCACATCCTTTCTAGTTGGATTTCTAGATGAAATGATGTTTTCCCTATCAGCAATTTCTAGATCTCCATATTCCATGAAATGCCAAGCTCATTCACAATTCTGTAAAAAGTCAGTTAGTAACAATGCATATTTAGCCCTTTAAGTCACCATCTTTCTTTCTTACACTATTTCCTTTTTTCCCCAACCAAATGTTTCAGTGCTGACAGACGGTCCAACCATCTCATTAAATGTGAGTATCATCACAGGTTTTTCCAATGCAATTTTGTCTTCTAACAAAATATAACTTTCAACAGCAATTACATGGGTGAGGTCAGCTGAAGTCCTGGGAAGTGAGATGGAGTCCTGAAAGGGTTCTGAAGTTCTTAAAAGATTGAAAACCTCTGTTCTATACACTAGTTGGCCATAGCTCCAGGGCAGCCCTAGTGGAACTCCTATTTTGAAGACTACAGCTCTTCTAGTCAAGCTTGATAAGTCTACTCCAAGCCATGGCAAATTTCAAATACAATTTGTGTCAATTATCTTGGGTGGCAACAAATTATGACTTCAATCAGCAAGTTGCTCTCTCCTAAAGGCTGCCTGCTACGAGTAAATATCAAGTGCTAGCATCACCCAAGTGGGTAGGTGACCAAGGGAATGTGCTAGGAGAGATTAGAATGCATCTCTCGTGTCTGTTTTCCTCTCATAAACTGTGGTCTCGGCAGCTGCAAGTGTTGTTATTTGTTGTCTTTTTTTCCCCAAAGCCCGTTTTGTCTTATCTGATGTTGAAACTCTGCCACACTGCTTTGAACACTGAAGCATAGGAACGAGAAATCAGTTGGAAATTTTTTCATGTCTCTTCCTATGCTTGACATTTCCACACTGATAAGGTACAGCTAAAGATTGACTTTTTGGTTAAGTTAGGATTAAGTATCTGGTCCATGAGCATTGATTATGAACCATTATCTTTCTTCTCCTTTAGGGCACTGACTTCTCTTACAAAAATAAAAAAGACAAAAGGGAAAGAATTGCTGCCTGAAGTGTTGTCATTAATTACCTGAAGGTCTTTTCTGAGCTGTGATAAAAATTGTCTTTGACTTTTGAGATACGGGGGCATTTTTGTTGAAGATGGCGTTGGTGAATATTAGGACATATTAAAAATCAGATTTTTACACTCGTAGGTTATTCACATATGTTCAAATTCTT